AAGTTGGAAATAAAATAGAATCATACACTAACAAGGAAATCTTGCGAAAATAGGAAAATTCCGCCAACTTGTTCTTGGCATATTTCTATACAATTGCAAACCCAAAAGTACCATGACCTCATGTAGTCTTGTGCAGAATTTCGTGTCATGTTTGGAATGTACTCATATGCGAAAATCCGACAACCGAGCTAAAAGTTATGTCCGTTTTCATTCACACTGCTCGTTTTCTTTCCAAATATCTTCCAAACCTTGAATCCAACTCATTTCGACTCTCGAGCCCTTCATGAAACTTGAACATTGACTTGTCAACTTCTTCAATTTGGACTCCAAAACTCGACCAAGTGATTGCCTATCCCGGATCATATCACTGTGAAATTGTTTGCAACTGCCACTTACTTGAGTTTCGAGAAATAATTTGCAGGCATGGAATCGCTGTACTGATCCGTAATAACGTCAAGTCACTGCCGGACATCTACATATTATTTACGTGGAAGAGAGATGTTTGTAGAGCTTATACAAGGGTCGCCTAAACTACGACGAGTTAAGTAGTACTCTGGGACAGTTGAGATATGACAAAATGTGTTATACATTTACTTCGCTTGCAGACATGACTACAGATGACGACGAACAGACCTGAGACATAATGGGGTTGATAGAATACAAGAAACAAGCAATAAGGAAGACAAGGTTGAGTAACAGAAGTAATGATATACCCCAATTAGCTTTGAAGAGTGGAACATCACAACATACTGGCAGAGGAAGCATACATGATCCAACACGCTCGAAGAGAAAAGGCGCGCCCAAGAAACTTCGAAAGAAAAGCCCTTTGGAATCGATTTCTAATACGGCAGAGGTATGTGTCAAAATTATTTTGTATATTATTAAAGTGCGTAAATTATTAATGATCTATACTTTGTTTGTTATACAGGCAAATACGAGTTCGGGCAAGGGAAGGAAACTGAGGGCACACCCATGTCAAATTGGAGACTGTGCACCTATCACTCAGGCACACCATCAAGCACAATACTACACGCCTTCACCGATCTCATATTCACAACTCTCACTAGTTCGAACAATGAAGTTGTGCAATATATTTGATTGGTACGTTGTTTGCTGACATTTTTAGTTGGTATAGGGTGATGGCAACAGTCATGTGCTCACACAACACTTACAGTCTCCAAATTTCATCACTTCGTCTTCAACAACTCTTATACTCAATGGTCAAGGTAATGGCGGTGAAACTATGTAATTTCGATTCCTCAATTTCTGTAGTTCGTGTATTTTTTATTTTTTTTTGTAGGAAATGCAATGT